TCCCCACATTCCCTCATCTCCAAAGACTTACTAAGACTGGAAATGCTAATCGATCCGCTACTGTTTGACATCTTCTGTGCTGGACATTTGACAATCTTTGAAATATTTCTTAGCGACTGATGTTTTTTAGTGTCTGACCACATCACTTTGAGCCTGATTTTCCAGACCAGTCAGGTACATTTGTATTGTCAGCGGTGTTAGTATAATGTCTTCAGATGAGCTGATCACTGTGATTTTTTGTCCTGAAAATGCATGAAGTACTCACTGCAAACAGCAGAGGAACGCGTAAATATTCTTTGTAACTATCAGGGTATCTCCTATAGTGGGAAACCTCGAGGCAGCTCAGTTGTAATACTTCATTATCTTATTTGTCCTTCACTAGTCTTCCAAAAGGCAATATGTAGCAGTTGCAAGAGAATCCTTGTTGCATGACTTTTTGACAATCAGTTCTGACCAAAGAATAAAAAGCATTCCATATTCAGAGTGCATGATTGTTTTTTGTTTTAGTTTTTTTTTGCAAAAAGGTGGATATTGTCTTTCAAATGCTAGATGCTTTTTTTTTACTGACTACACTGGTGGTATTTGTCATTTTTAAGACCTCCCTCATCACATTGAAAAGACACATTCAGCCTATACCAAGCATACTTGATGTTCGTGCACTTGTAGTAAACACATGTCTGGAGTATATATAACTGTAGGATCATTTGTGGCTGAGTTGTTGCATTGGATTGCTTCCAGTCTAAGTGGAGTATTTACACAGAGGTGAACAATCTGAGAGGTCGACTGTTGAAATGTGAGCCCTCTGAAATAAAACCACTGACAGTCGTTTTATCAAGTGATGAGTAACTATTTGATAATAATCCTCAAATATTTTCTAAAAAGTAATAAATGGTTTAATTAAATTATAAGAAAAACCGTTTAAAAAAAAAAAGTATTATCACTTGTTTGGTTGTCAGTTATCCACAGGCTTGGTAATTTACAGTAATTTAAGTGGAAAAAAGGTCAGTTATTGCCACATCTGTCCTAAATTATGACATAATTGTGCATGTGCTCTTTATGTATTTTTCTAATTCATGTCAATGCCTCTTGTTATCCAGAGTAATGCTACCTGCCTATGATCACATAGTGACTGTGTTTGTGTTTTTTAGAGTGTGTGCATTAGTCCCCCATGCAAAGGTTCACAGGCCGCTCATGAGGAAACCAGCTGTAATCTGGGCTCTTCACACCTGACCACTGTGAGCCAAACTTGTGAGCCCGATAGCTCTGAGGGCTTCAGCGGCTCTGTTGAAGAGCAGTCATGTGATCAGGAGGAGGTTGTAGTTTCGGAGACGCTCTCGGTGCCGGTCGTAGAGGTGGAAAAGGCACGGCTGGCTCCTTCCGCTGAGCCCTCCTGTAACGCTTTAGATGAGATCCAAAAGGAAAGGGGATCATGTCCCATGGTGGCGGGGAACTCTGAGCGGATAGATGGAGCTTCCCCAGCTTCCTATTTCTGGAGCGATGGGCCACAAGTCATACGCTGCTTCCAGGTAGTCTCCTGACTCCTCAGGGTGATGCTGATTCTCTCATTGCCTGTCCTCTGGCTTCCACACCTGAACGCTCCTTTGCAGCACCAACTCAAAACGTGTAAACCTATAAAGGTGGAATGTACCTTTAAGAGTGGCTTAAAACGCCATCCTCAAATTGAACTGGGCGTGCTACAGATGTGCTGCACAGCAGTGTGCTGAATGGTGACGGGTTACTGTAAGAATAACACTTCAGCTCTGACACTAAACGTTAACCCTTTTCACCATCTTTTTCCAAATCACTCTACCGAAAGAGGCTTACTCGGTAAATGTTGGTGGTGGGACACAACACGGTGTGATTGTAATGTTTGAAACCGGAATCGTAACCTAAATGGACAGGTTACTTGAAACAAACTGGACTGGAGGTGTCTGGTTAAACAGCCGCTCATGGGGCTGTGCTCCCCTCCGCAGCCCCCTCTGGTGCAGACCCAGACTGTCACCATCAAAGCTGTCTCCTCACCCAGCGACGTGTCCACCACAGAGGTGCCCATCGTCTCCACCCAGACCGTCACCTATGAGTCTTCAAAGGTAGGGGCTCCAGCGTGCCTTCGGCCCCGGTCCGTCCCAGACACAGGCGGGCGGGGGTTGCGTGGAGGAGACGGCGGCTGGAGGGGGCTCCGCAGTGAGGCGTGAGGCATGAGGCATGAGGCCTACCGTAAAGGATGCTCAGGGTGGCAGCACTTTAAAACCGATCACCGAGTGTCCCGTCTCTGTCCGTGTTTCTGCAGGTGACGGACGACGGGACGGACGAGGACAAAGACGGAACAGAAGGATCCACCTCTAAGACGGTCAGCTCGGAGGCGACCGGCGGCACCACAGTCACCACCACCACCCAGATCTCAAAGGTCAGCAGGAGCCCCCCCGCCTCCCGTCACCTCCTCTGTCCGTCACGGCCCTCTGATGCAGGTCATCTGTCTCACAGGTAGTGAAGAGCGGCTCCTCAGAGACTCGTGTGGAGAAGAGAATCGTCATAACGGCAGACTCCGATGCGGACCAAGATAAGGTACAAACCCTGACGGGCCTCCATCACACAAAACACCACGCGGGTCTGGAGAACGGTCAAAAGACCAGCCTCTGTTTTCTCATTGAACTCTTCTTTCTTTCATCCCTTCTAATCAGAGCTGATGGTTTTTCATTTTACTGTTGAGTGATGTGAATCCATGACTGTCTTTTAGGAGAAGCACGGCGGGGCGTCAGCATTGTAACAGAGCCCTTCATTGTTCCTGAACCCACCCCCACCTCCAACATTCCTATGTTAGACTGCCACATCCAGGACACAGCCACCAACTCCCACATGCACCCCGAAGCAAGATCGAAGACACCTGCCCCCAAAACGATAACAGAATAGTGTGTGTAGGTCCTGTTTTTCCCCACCTCAGTCGGGTTGTGTGTGGTAGGTAGGGTCGCGGATCAAAGGCTTCTATCACCCCGGTGTCGTAAAGACTTAGCGTGAACATTTATCAGCGTTTTCTTTCTGTTGAGTGATCTCAGTAATGTTTGCTTTTAACTGCTTTAGCTTTCCTAGAGGTTTTTAAGTGGTTTGTTTTCTACAAAATGCACTGCGTTCAATGCTGTAGCTCAGAGACTACGATCAGCATTTACTCCCTTGGTGCTGCCTGGGTAAACGTTAAGATGACATTCAAGGGAACTCTTACTTTATTGTTTACTTATCAGTTGAATTCAGGAGAGGTTATTTCTTTTCTTTTTTTTGTAATGAAGTGACATACCTCACAAAAACACATGAACAAAGATATTCTGTGGTCAGATTTGGACAGTTTGTTGGGATTTGTTCACTGCTCAGGTAAAAAAACAAAAACAAAAAACAAAAAAAAACTTAAAATCTTTGGTTCCCCAACCAGCCAAGAACCAGTAGCCTACACTTTCTTGTAAAGTTTGGATTTAAAATCGATCTATTTTGAAATATTTCTCTATTTTATAGACGTATGCTTTTTATGGTATTTGTATAAATTTGAGGTTTTTAAGTTATTCATATCCATCTGCTGATTGTCGTTGCAGGTGCAGTGTTTACTGTACTTGCCTGACACCCTGAATTATTCTTATTCGTTTCCTCTTGTAGCTCAGCCAACTCCTCACTTTACATACGACTGGAGAGCCTCCCTCAGCCCTGTGTGTTGTGCAGTATCATAGTAGTCAGAATTGCTTTGAACATGTTTTGGTCTGTTTATCTCAGGTTACGATATTCTTCTTAAGACTGCAGACCTCCATATAACTGAATGAGGAGTGTCCTTTCATGTATATCCATCTCTATTGTAAATGTACATTCATGTTCAGTCCAGAGGTCAATTTTTTTTTTTTTAAAAGGCTCCTCTGTCACAATAACCATATGAGTCAAGATGAAGGCAGCTGCCATAGAATATGTGGCTTTTCCTCTCACAGGAGCACAGAGTTGTTTTTTCCCGTTTTTTTTTACATGTTCTGCTATACAGTAATTTATTTGTAAAGTAGGAACTGTTCCGTGTGATTTTGATGTACTGTGATGTTTCAACACAGGCCTCCATTAGAGATGTCAGAAACTGCAGTCTTTATCACTTTGTAAAGCCTTTCTGCTGCATAGTTTTGAGTAGGTTGCTCTCACTTGCTGTTTTTTCCTGTGCGTTTTTCCATAGAGATCAAAGGAGTCTTTTAGACGACCCGTAGAAATTTCTTTTTTAAATGCATACAAAAGCCATTGATATTGTAGCTACATGGACAAAAAAATAACCCCCACAATCGTTTTTAGGACAAAAAAGTAGCATTTCACATCAAGGAGAATTAGTTTATAGACAAAAGAAAATATTGTTGCTTTGTGACTTATCCCTGTCTTTTTATGAAAAAATAAAAAATATGCATTACTTTGCTTTTTGTGTTGAACATACGGAATATGGAAATATGATTTTGGTAAGAAATAAATATTTAATGTCAATCTTTCTCCACAGAATACAAACATATCAGGAAAATATTGTCACACTTTTTCACTACAGATCAAAGTAACAACAAAATCCCAAACCAAGTCACCACTTTGTCTAATTTGGCATTTATTGATCCTTGGACTTAGTGCTAGCACCCAGCTCCCTGCAACATCAGTTAGGCAGCACAACATTAGCGTATTTAACTGGTACTGGACCATCACTGATAAGGCAAACGTCTGGGGCTGATGGAGAGACTTCCTGGTGCATTCAGCCACCTTCGCTAAAGCCAAACAGCCTTCACTAAATTTAAATTCACTTTACATTAGTGAAAAATGTCCCTAACTGTACTGACACCATTAAGGACAGAAACCATAATAACTGAGACAGATCCAAACAGGTTTTAATAAAGAAAAATAAAGAAATGGCTGAATTCAAAAGAATGAACACTACAGTGATCTGTAATTTTTTTTATACTGCTTCAATATAGTTGTAAACAATACCATCTTTAGGTCTTTGTCAAAGTTTTTATTCAGCGGATCGTCTTTACTGGGCTTTTGAAACTGGATGCAGCCTGAAGTTGGAGCTGATAAGCCATTGGGTGAATTTTGAAGCCGTATAGCCTGAAAAACATAAAAAAACAGTTCAGCTGTAGGATTTCCGTGGCAATACGAAGCACAGATTAAAAAGTTTGGTACGACACTCGGCTGGAGAATGAACTCAGTCTCCACTCTCCAAGTGGAACGTTACGTTTTAACTAACCTTGGCACAAACTGGTTGGCGGGCCGCTTTGGCCGATACTCTGGGTGCACCATGAACAGCATGTGAGGGAACCCCGTGCCAAAATAGGCTCCGTCCGTGTGGTGGTGTCTGGAGGATTTAGGGGTGTATACATCCATGCACTTTGGACAGTACAGCTTCACCATTGCTTCTCCTGGTATGTCTGACAAACCTACATCAGTCAGAGGAGAAACATTTAAGACGTTTTACCACAACAAACTAAAAGACATTCTGTTGAGAGTCACGCACCAATAGGAAGCATCGGCTGATTCTCGCAGTAGACTCGGGGACAATAACCAAAATCCCCTTGTTGATACTTCTCCAGCTACAAAAATACAAGAAACTGATATGAGACGGCAAAAGATCCAGTCACAGAGCATGAATGACTGAAATGACTACGCCTGCCCACCATTTGTGCAATTCCTCTGTTTGTCAGGATGTAACGTGCATGTATGAGACCATACAGCATTTCTGCTGCCTGCTCTATCAGATCACTTTGGTTTGGGTTGTCTTCAAGTTCCTCATCTATTGAAAGGAAGAGGAAGAGACTAAGCAGTTAAAATAATGAACACTGATCTGTTTTGAAGCAATAAGCTCTACTATGAGATACCATCACCTGGCTCCAGGTCCAGAATCATGTCCAGAGCCTGTCGATAATGCGGCACCTGCTCATTCAGACCTGTGAGGTTGAACTTGTCCTGTATGTAGTCTTCATCAACCTGTAACACAGCAGCGGAGGACGATCAAACGCTATTAGTGGCATTAATTACTGCTGTGGCAGCAGCACATTACCACCACACGCTGATGTGGAAGACTTACACAGAGCTTAAAAGGATTAGCTAGACGCTGCAAGGGAAAAGAGGAAGGAGTTAAAATTAGAAACTGGATTGTGTGGGTGCTAATGTTCCACATAAACCAGTGTGTAAGGCCAGTGTCAGTGCTGCCCACTGTTCCTGGTATGTTATTTCAGGCTCCTTTATTTTCTGTAGGTGTGCACAGTAACGCTTGGATTAGAGACTAAAAAGAACACTTTCCAAGAAGATTTTCATCCAAACTGGAACAGGAGTTCACACTCCGAACTTCTGCGTAAACAGAGCTGTATGACGTTGATTATTGTCGCCTAAAACACGAGAACATCCATGTCTTTGCTGTTGTGAGGTATCAACCCTGAATCTCAATCAATCTAAATGTATCCATCAAAGGTTTTTTTTAGATAATTAAAGAGATATTCACCTCTTAAATGGAACCTTCTTTTTTGGTAAAGAAAAAAAGACCTTTGCTTTGGTAAGTCTGAGGTGATATGGAGAGCATAAACTTACGATTCTAAATGTCAAAGTGTGAAACTGAATCTTACCTCACAGAAGAACTCATTTCCTCTAAGACCACAAAACCAAGATATCCAGGACACCTCCTCTGAGCTGCTCATCGTCCTGAAAAACCAGCAGAGTTGCAATGAACCACTCTCACATCCAAACTAATCAGCTAACATCATCTAACCTGCTAACTAGGTAACCATTTTAGTTTGTTTTTTTTACCCACGAAATAACTTTATTAGACACCATAGCACATCAAGTGCACATATGGCGTTAAATTATACATTTTATATTAATTGTGATCTTATTTAACATAATTTACCTGCATTAGCTCCTAACGCTAGCTTACTGGCTAGCGTTCATTTTGACAGGTGTAGTCCAGAGAGATTATTTTGTGCCATAACAACCCGAATTTAAAAAACATTCTGACGCTTGTTAGGATATGCCTAGTAACAGTGGTAGGCTTTTACTCACCCTTCATATATTGACCGAATAAACTTGCAAGCTTCCCTAGTTTGTGCTCTGTTTCTCGAGATGTCCGTCTTCCGGTTGCACAGTTTTCAAAACAAAAGTTCTCGTTGACGCAGTCTCCAAATGAAACCGGAAACGAGTTCAAGTCTCGATCAAATACGGATAAAAGGATAAAAGGCGACACTATGCACCGTGCGGTTTTTAATAACATTTTACTAACAGCAAGCATTTCTGTAAAGATGTCTATCAAAATAGGTTTAGAAAGAAACAATGTTAGGCTATTTTGACATTCTCTTTTACACATTTCATCCAGATTTATGCAATATGTTGTTCACAAAACCAATGACGCCAGAGTAATACGACATCTGGGGGCTTTCCAGTATTTCTTCGAAAAATTATTTTCTTACAAGTGCCCTGAAGTTTATATATTTTTTGTCCTCAACAAGATGTCTGAAAATAAAAAGAAACAATAATGCACAGCTCAATGGCAGATATCTTCATCCAGGGCTGGAGACCTCATTCAGGGCAGGTCTGAAAAGGTTTTGCGACCAGGAGGTCCAGAATCTTTCTGCTCCTGCTCCTTTCCCATTCCTTCAAACATCAAGATCCTTTAATAAAAAAAATGTAAGAAACATAACGTTAGCTGCTCTCCATTATATTCCTTGAAACATTTGAGACTATAAAATATTACATGTTCAGTTGATTTGGGTTAATTGTATCTTTAGTACAATTCTTCTATCTATTGGTTTTGGGGGTTTAAATGTATCTGTAGAGGTCAAGATATAAGCTATTGTTCAGAACTTTGTATTTGGATCAGGATTTTAACATATCCATACAATTTATATAAAAATATATATAGCCTACATATGTCTCAATATAAAGAATCAGGTTATTGTTGATTCTGATCATTTGATATTCCTTTTAAAAAAAATACAAAAATAAAACTTACACTCACAACTTTACTTCATTCATACTTACAGCTTTAAAATTGCATTTCTTTTCCCCAGCATCATGTTCAGGAAGTCATTGTAGTTGATAGTGTCTTTTGATGCGTTTCCAACCACCTCGGACATCATCTTTTTCAGCTCTAAGTGAGTTTTGGCCAATCCAAGTTTTTCCAGCATTCGTTTTAAACCCATCAAATCTAATATATGTTTGGTTCACACAGAGAAAATAAACAAAATGTCATATGTAATCAATGAAGACAACCTGCCAACAGTGAGCCCCTAAAGTAAAGTTTCTTAAAGTTGTTTAAGATATCTGAAAGGTTGATGCACTATTACCTATTTCTCCTTTGTCGTTCAGATCAAACTCCATATATTTCTCTGAAACACGAATGTATGGAATATTACACTAAAATGTAGGATTAAGCTAATCAATAATGGAACAATGAGCAATTAAGTTCATTTTAATTACCGACTTACTTTTAAACATTTCAAGCTTTGAGGCCAGATCCTCTTCCTCTGCATACTGCGGATCTGAGAGAAAAGCCTGTGAATGGGAAAGATAAAAAGATGAAAAGCTGACCTATTTTTGTCAGTGTTGTATGGGCTTCATATTTTACAAGTTTGTTCTCAGCCTGTGATTTTGCCTGAGTGTGCCAATCATCATTCTGAGCTCACCTCATTGATAGAGTTCAGTTTTTCCTCCTGTTGCGATTTTAGAAGACCAAATGCCTTCCCTCCTGTGAAAGAACAACAATCAGCAACAAACAACCATGAAGCAAATGATCTTTTAAAAGCATGGAGTACCAAGCTTAGATTACCAGGCATATTTTATTGGCTGTGGCACAACTATTGTAAGCGAAAAGAGCATACTAACCTTGTGCACTGTCGTTCATTTCTGTCAGCCGAACTGGTCAAATGTCAACTTGAACATTGACACTCACTCTCTCAAAATCGAGTCAGAAGAGGAAGTAAAGCGACAGAGTATCAGTTTGAACTTGCTGTGCCTTTTAAGAATTTTTTTTTTCGGCCGAGTGCTGCTCAGGACTCTCAGTTCAGCGTTAATGCAACAAATTAAGGAAGTAGCCTAAGGTTATTGCGGGACAAAATTAAAATGTTTAAGTCTGTTTCATATCTTTCTAAAGTTAACTGGAAATGTCAAATAGGCTCCAAATAAAAGCCATGGCCAGCTGGGGGAGAGAGAGAGAGAGCCCGAGAGAGAAACAACATGCTTTACAAGCCTGTTTGGAAACCATAAAACTTTGATCACTTTCTTTATTCTTGTTGTTTTGTTTTTTATTTTTTCACAAAAAGCCCCATAGCACACTGCTTATGTGAAAGTTTCCTCATTGTCCCAGACAGATCAAATTTTCTGAAGCAAATAGAAGTTAATTAATCGTCAAGGGCCACTTGAGGTGTCTGTGATGGTGTCATGGTGGCTTTGAAAGAGAAAGAAGTGATGCGACGTCACTTTCTCCACTTACATCCAAATGGAAGTTCCGTGTACAATTCTGTGAATATGCTCCTCAGACTAGTGACTACTTATTGCCACATGGTGGCACATTTGTTTGTATTACCAATTACAAAGAAAGTTTCTCATGTTTGATTCTGCGGCTATTTTACTTAGGAACTGAGAAATTAGGTGGAATTGGAAGTTCCGGTGTAAAAGAGACTACTTTGTTATTTCTGAAGGTGCTTCAGTTCACAAGAAATGGCACAGCCGTCATTTCAGGGTCTTCATTTGTTTATTCTACTTAAAGTTATTTTGGAATGCAGAGGTGAGTTTATTTTTAATCGAGTACAAAAATATAATCAGTACCACTTCTCTAATGACATTTGAATGATTCATTAACAGAATGTTGCTGATACTAAGCCTTACATTGGTCACAATGGTCAGAATTTACTGATCGGTTTTGTAATTCCTCTTAATTGTTTCCATAGGCTATGTTTACTTGTCAGGTTATAAACAAGAAGATGTTGCTCTGTCATGTCTGGACACAAATGTGACAGGTTCAAGCTCCAACAGATTTAGATGGTCAAAGTATGCCACAGGTTCCAGTCCGACTGTCATCTTTGACTGGCCAAAGAAATCCCAGGACACCAAACGTGTCGTATTAGGAGAAGATCAAAATGGGAAAACGTGTCTTTATCTGAAAAACCTGCAAAAGTCTGACGCAGGGATGTACAGGTGGGAAATCTGGGATGGATGGGACATTGTTCTGGTCCAAAACATATCTTTGAAAATAAAAGGTATGTCTTTAATTATTTAGCAATTCTGTAAAAAAAAAACAAAAAAACAAAAAAAAGTTATCACATGTGTTTTAAAATAAATTTCAGACTGTAAAGTCCACCAAGCAGTGAAGGCAGCACCTGGTAGATCCGTTAAGATCGACTGCCAAGAGTATGCAACACCAGGCCAGCAAGCGCTTTCAAACATCTCTTGGGCAAAGCTGAAAGGAAGCAATCGCATATCTGTCGACTCTGAAAGAATTCAAATGAACGGCACTTACTTGGCTATCCAGTCTGCAAAAGCAAGTGACTCTGGATGGTACCGATGCACATACACGCTTGGAGAAACTCAGCGCTGCTCTGACATCAATCTACGAATTCAAGGTGTGAAATTAAACCCTGATCTTTTTTGTTATTAAAGGAAAACACAATCATATGTGCAGCTATTTCCATTTGTTCCGCTTTATTTCAGACCCCTTGGATAGCTTTGAGGCCACAACTGCTACAGTTCCTCCAGTCACAACTGCTGAGGAAGGTCTGTTTGTTTCTGACTTTTTACACATGTAGAATTCATAATTGCTTTTTGGTTTCTGGAAATCTAAAAGTTCTGGAATCTTACTTTTAAGACTGTTTCATACAAACACTAACTCTCATACTTTTGCTTTGTTTCTCTGTCAGTACTGACGGTCAGAGTAACTGTGCAGATTTCTGGGCCAGGCGAGAGAAATGAAACCCTGATTCCGGCCGTGGTCTCAGTCGCCGGGGTGATCCTTCTACTTGCAGCGCTGGCAGGATTTTTCATTCACCGTAGACGTAAAACGCAGAGCCCCACCCGACAAATACAGATGCGAGCTGCAGGTGGGATCAGTCTGCAGCTCTTTCAGCTTTTCCTCTCACCCAGATCAGTGGCAGATTACCACATGCTTTCTTGTTTTTCTGATTGTCTCATAGTGTCCACTGATGCGTACGAAAATCTGACTCTTCCATATTCACCGCGTGAGTGCCAGCAGTTTTAGTATTATTTTTTAATTAGGTGAAATAAACAAATACTTTTAAGTGTTGGATGGGTGGCATTCATAGAATGTGGAAGGTGCTAAATACACACAAATTCCTGATGAAGAATGATGAAGGGATGAGGGAACTTTTAAGGTTATGCATCCTTAAAAATGGTGTATGATGTCTACTGTTTTGCTTGTCACTTCATGTGGAACTTTTGATGTCTCACAGATGCAGGAGATCGTGTCAACAGTCTGTACCAGTTCCCAGAGGAAAGCGTGCTTACTTTTAAGTATTGAAACAAATATGTCTTCTATGATAAAATTCTGTTTAAATCTTAAACCCATTAATGCTTTCTCTTTTGTTGCAGTTCAAATGTATTAATTTTCAAATCATTCATGGAAATGAGAAGAATTTCCTCTCTTCTCCGCTCTATCGTCTTGTTCGTATTGATTAATGTAATGATTGATATCTCCCACATTAAATTAAAAATGTTCCACTAACAATGTAATCTATGAATAAAATATCCATCCAAGTTGATTACGGATTTATAGTAACACGTAATGATAGCAAAAGAATATTATTGAATTGTTGATTTTCTTTGTCTTGTGACTGTATTCTAAATAAAACAATTTCAAATCCATGTTGTGAGTGTACTGCTTACTGAAAGCATATTCTTATCAAAATGAAGATAAAGAGTGTGATTTATTTAGTTCAAGTTTACAGGCTGTAACAAATCATAAAAACCGTCAACTCTCTGGGCCACTTCTCTTTCGAACTGAGTCTGCTCTTGTTCCTCATCCTGAATGTCCTCATAAACATGATCCTGTGTAAAACACAATACAGATTGTACTGTATTATAGCCAATTGGTCTGAGGTAAAAACAAATGAAAATGTTCCACGAACCATTTCAATGCGTGATTGCTCATTTGCTGCACAAAGAAAGTTGGAAAACATTAGTTATAGAAATTGTCAAGCTTATCAGTAGATAGTGTTTCTTGACCGCCTTCAGTACCTGCATCCTTTTTCTTCTTGTGTCTGTAGAGCCCCGCTGCTGCTGCACACATCAGGAGGCCAAGCGGTAGGCCTAACCAGGCTGGTGTTAGCAGAGCTGAAGAGATTACATCCTTTTTTAATTTCCTTCTGTTTATTTAAAAAATTAAAAGCAAGTCATTTTTATATCAGTGTTAAGAGAAAAGTCTACTATGCATGCATACAGTTTGGAGAGTGCCACTTCTTGGATGTCATCAGCGCGCCCTCTCTGTGCACAGAGCAGGTCACTTCATCCGAGCTCCTTGGCCAAACTGAGAGAAACAACACTTTCTTCAAGGTGTTGCTCACTTTCATTAATCTGCTCTGCATGCTAATTTGCTCTTGGTTGGTTCCCGACCAGGTTAGGTTGAAGTCTTCTTCGCATTCATTGCCACAAGTGAGCACACAGGTCAGAGTGAGGGTTTCTCCCCTTTTGTCGGCCTCGGCAGAAACTAAAGAATCAAAAAGATGAGAGGCGAAACACCTTGGGGATTCTGAGAAGACCGCTTTACTGAACACCTACCATCCAGGACATGCAGTCTGATTTTAGTTTGAGCTTCTTGCTCTGTGCATTGGTAGTCTCTGGCATGTAGAGGACTCAGGTCACTGATGACTAATGACGAGCGTTTATTAACGCCCACAGCTGTGGTTTGGCCTCTCTCGGGTTCCGAATCTGTCACTTGGTTTGTCTCCCCAGCCTGCGGTACGCTTCCTCCAATGCTGAGAGAGGAAGTGCTGCTGCAAGCGAGTGACACTGACTCACCCACAGCAGCAAACACTTCCTCTACTCCATCTGGGTAAAAAAGGAAAAGCTGCTTTTACTCTGACTTGGTGAACCAAAATCCATTTACTGTTTGTGAATTTTTAAGTACCTTTTACTGTTGTCGTGTAAGTGACACTGGCTTTAATCATGTCACTTTGAACTACGTGGCATTTCCATTTTCTGTGGTGATCTGTCAGTTTTTGAAAGATTTTCAGCTTTGAGAAGCAGGGAGACTGATCACCAAATTCAAATCTTTTTCCTTGTATTGGTGTATCATCCTGAGTTGTCCACTTGATATCAATCCCTGAGTTTTTGTCACAGGGGTGATATCCTTTGAATATATTGAGCCAACATTGAAGCTCCATAGTGTTTTGTGCTGACTTGGGGTTCTCACTAACTGACAGCAAAGAAACAGAGAGGGACTTTTACAAGTTGTTCATGGTAAAAACTAAATGAAATCAAATGCAAGAACAAGGCTGCTTACTTTCAAGAAGGTGAAGTGAAACATTTGAAGTATGTTTCCCATTTTCACAAGAGTAGAGACAAGCATCGTCCTGGGCCAGGCGACTGATCTCCAGAGAGCAGTCCTTTAGCAGACGATGCTTATAATCTTTAGGATACCTACCTTCTCCGGCTTTCACTTCTTCAGCGAACCCTTTGGCATCTACCTTGTTCCATTTAATAGAGGAGCAGGATTTAATAGATGTTAAACCACAGGGCAGTGTAATCCTGTCTCCTTGTGTGGCAAACATCATCAAGTTATCTGTTTCTAATTCGTCTAAACAGAAAAAGGAAAAGTGTTACATTTTCTCTCTTAATCCAGTAAAATAGAAATCAAATTTCTCTTTTTGTACATATGAAGTGAATCATGACAGCCAAAAAAAGTAGTATATACATCTTTATCATAAACTATCCTTTAAAATAAACTCACAACACTCGACTTTCTAATAGTTCTCAGTTTTCTTTGAATAAAATGATCATCTGACCACATACATGCAAATGTAATGTAAAATGTTTTTTATATACTTTAAATAGCTTTTCACAAGACGTCCATGGTGTCTATATTTTTCAAAATATTTAATATGAATATAATATACTAAAATAAACAGCATAGAACATGATCTTTGCTTCTCATGGAGCCTCTCCTAAACATCTGGACATCCTTGAAGCCCCCATGGAGAAACACAGACATAAACCCTCAGACTGTGTGAACAATCTAACTTTATATTTATCGTTCTGTGACTATATAGTTCCAAAGAATGCTGTATCCAAGATCTCCTTTTCATAGATTTCTGGAAGCACCATATGTGTAATATTTACCAGTTGAATGAGGTCCGGCTTCTGTCCATTGAGAGAGTAAAACACAGACACAAAGTCCAAATAACAACAGGGAACTCATCCTTCGCCAAACAAGGAGGCTTCTGCCAGAATATTTCTTGCTTATTGCTTAATATAATGATGACTAAAATTACTCAGAAACAGAGGAAAGGATATTGTGAAACATGGAAACTCTGCACAGCTCAGTGTTTTGTGTCTGTGATTAATTTGAAACGGTTATGTAAATGTTGTGTTCTTTTAAATTTTTGTCTTTGCTTTTTGTCAAAAGATGGCTACAAATAGAGAAAATGAATATATACTTGGTACTTTAACATGACGTCCCGTCACAAAAAACAGTGAGACAGGATTAGCAGCCAGTGGTTAGCAGATAATGTTGCTAATTAGGATGTTTAATAACCAGCAACAAAAGCCTTCTGGCAATGTGGAGTGAAGATTTCTATCAGGTAACTCCAGTATTTGTCCACTGGGTGGTGCAATCAGAGTAATCCATCCATGCATCTGTTTTCCACACCGCCCAATCTTGAATTGATCCCACCTGAATACATGTTTTTTAACCTTCTTCAGTCTTTCACCTCCATGCAGGAGGGTGGAGCAGCTGGAGATAAAACCAAGGGGGTAAACATGCAGAGGCTGCACACAGGCTCCAACCGTCAGTATTCATCACACACCAGGTCAAGGACGTACTGTAAAGGATCATATTATCAAGGTTTTTTAACTTACGTACTCACTCTACTCTCATTTTTTTATGCATGTCCCACTTACAACAAATCAAGCAACGCTTTGGCTGTTCTAAGAAGTGCCAGATAGTTTACTTTGTAAAAGATGGTCCACTTAAATATCTGAAATGATCTGAAATTAGAAAAACTCTGTTGTGAGCGTCAAAAACCTCTTTTTGCACCATTAAAACATCTGAATTAGTGAGGTCCAGCTTTAAAGCTTTATTTTTATCTATTGCAATATGATCTGCATGTTTTGGGCTGCGGTCAACAGGAAAGAGGGTGCCACCTCCACTTGGGATCCAAACTGGGATGATTTACAATGTGAGGTGGAAACAGTGAAGACCACAGTTCCACCAGATCAAGGATGAAGACAAAGATGGAGGAAAAGAATTTTACTTTAACAAACATTTAATTGCCCACTAATATGTAACGTGAGTAACATGTAAGCACCAAACCTACTCCATCTCAAACTGTAGCCGTAGGTCTGGCACGCGCTGTAACTTTGTAGGACTTGACTTTGAGCACAACACTAGCAACACCTCTCAGATCAGGCAGGGAGGCCTCGTCGTCAGGAAGGAGGAACTGAAAATCTCGCAGTAGGTAAGCAGTGAACAGAAAGAGCTCCATTTTGGCGACAGACTCCCCCAGGCAGAGCCGTGCGCCTCCTCCAAAAGGCACCAGCGCACGAGTGGAGCCTCCTCCTCCTTCCAGGAAGCGCTCTAACGGAGAGAGAGAATGGGGCAATTTTATTTCCACAGCCTGCTTGGCGACGGGAACACACGTTGACCGCACAATGCAACACCTGGTTTGAAGCTGTACGGCTCAGACCACACAGCGGGGTCGTGATGAGCTCCAAAAAGGTTGGGAATGATGACTGTATTCTTAGGTATGAAGTAACCTGCAATACTACACAAGAGTAAGAGTTACATAATACCCATTGTGCAGTCATTGAGTTTATATGATCAAATCATGTGAAAGTCTTTCGTGTGGACACTGAGGCTCAGCTGACCTGCTGTCCCTGATGGCTCTGTGTGGCACCGCCAGCGGAGCCACGGGCCTCAGTCTGAGCACCTCACTTATCAGAGAGCACAGCACAGGAAGTCTGTGCCTGTCGCTGTACTTTGGATAGCGTTCCTCCAAAACTGTGACCATCTCTTCATATACCCTTGTTTGCACCTAAACGATCAAATTTGAATGGAGACACGTTAAGTTGAGCGACAAGTTTTGCTTTGTGAAAAGAATAATGGCCATACATCAGGTCTGTGTAACAGGAAGGCTATTGTCCAGTTCAGCCAGGCCGCAGTGGTCTCTGTTCCCCCAATGAGAAGGTCCACGGTCGCCATGTGAATATGAACATCTGTCAGGAGCTGAAGAAAAGATGCTGTGAACTTGTGTTTCTAGCTCATTTTCAGTTGGCAAATATAGAGCAACATTATTACAGCTACCAGTCCATCTCTCCCACCTGATTGTTCCACGTACCTCTTTGTGTTCTGTGTTGTGCTGTTTCTCTATGCCTTGGAGAAGAGCTCCTGTAATGGCGTCCTCATTTTTTTTGTCTTGTGACTGTAATAATAGCTCGAAATGTTATACAGATTTAAACAACAAAGCTGAACTACTGTTGATTCTTCTCAAAATGTTTGGAAGTGAATACAAGGTTCTTACTATCATGCATCTCTATTACATTTAACCTGAAAGACTATTTTTTTTCATTCAAGGCCACAAACCTTATAATTGCTGAGGTGTTGTCTGATGATTTCATCCCTCCTGGTCACCTCTTTGAGCAGACGGGCAAACACAGGATTGGGTAATTTCTTTAAGGGAACAGACCATATGACATGTCAGATATGCTTTTAACCTGACAGAACTGATTCCGAACACACACACATATATGTACGTCTATGTATATATATACATATATTTATACTGACTCGCAGCAGGGGGAAGGAGTCCAGTGCAGAAATCCAAGAAGAGCCCCACAAAGCCACAATCTCATTCAGACAGCTGTGCAGCTGCTGCAGCTCTGATGAACTCTTGTCATACTATGAAAACAAGAAATCAAGACATACGCGGATAAGAACGGGACAGAACATTTTTGTCACGCTTTTGCAATGCAAGCCTCTAAAACGGGTAACACAAACAGTGACCTTGACCACTTCCCAACTTAAACAAGCAACAAAGCACTAGTTTGGCATGACCACAGCTGTTCATTCATGTACATTTTACAAACCGTCTCCAGTGCTCAAAGGCACAAAATAAACTGCTGGAGAGAAGATACTCACTTCTCTGCCAAAAGCCAAAGTGGTGATGACATTACTGGCTGCCACTGTGAAATCTTCTGCGAGATCCACAGCGCGGCCCTGATAGTCACTCAGAGCCTAGAGCAGTAAACAAACCTATCTTTATCAGGCCGTGTGATGACATTGGAAATAACCCAACGTTTGCCTTGCTCCCAGGAGCAGCCCTTATTTTCTGTACCTTTTTCAGCTGAATGGCCTGTCGTTCAATCACACCGTGCAGAGACTGCTGGCAGCAGCGCTGCAGGGCAGAGTGCACGAGGCGGCGATGTGCCCTCCACTCCTCCGTATAGTCCCCCAGAGAGATGTTACGCCCTCCCCCGGAGACAATGTCACCTAATGCGGTTTAAAACAGGCCATGAACACGTGCAATGATTCTTTGTTCTTTATTTCAGTGCATATGGAAGCAGAAGTTCTTCACCAGTGTATGAAATTGGCCTCCCTGCAAAGTCGGACCATTTCTTCACCAGTGCTTCTTTAATGACTTCACTGCTACTTAGCACCACCATGGCTTAAAACACAATAGACATAATAGATAAATGTTTCAGTTAACAATGGCTTTTCTAGATTATTTGATCAGTGTTGAATCCAATATTTATGTTTTAAAGGTGTGTATCATCCATCAGCTTTAGATTACTTGTGTTTCCACATTTCAGGCGGTAAATGTCTCCATAACGCTGTGCCAGATTGGTCAGGTGAATTGGTAGGTGGTCATGTGTCATCTCCAACATGTTGCCAAGCAGAAAGTGACCGGTGGGGCCAGGGAGGGAGGGAGATGAGGCACGATTAAGAAACTGATAGAGATGCTGCCACAGTCCAGATTCAGCTCCTACACAGAGTTAGAAAGAAAACAAAGAGAAGCACAAACACACAGACAACATGGCCACACAATTGACAGAAGATGGATATTTACCTACTGACTTAGTTGTTTTGTATTTTTTCTGCATAAAAGGACCTCTCTGGCTTAAAAACAGCACTACCAACAGCAGTAACAGCAGAAGCGCAGCTCCAACACTGATCATCGATGTCTCTATTGCCATTGTGTGTCCTCCTGCCGCTGTCCCACTTAAGAAAGCAGGACAGCAGTCAACTCCTCTCCTTTATACTCATCTCATCAGTGTCACAACCCCTTACTCCGATAGGGTGTTGGTGTTGTTATTTAAATCAAGGATGTCTAAATATTTGTAGGTCAGTATATCTGATTATAAGGCATGTAAAACTCATGTAACAAGACACAATCTGATAAACACAGCCGGGACGCGCAGAAGGCCATAATAATACATAACAGCTGACATCACAATCAGTCATGTTGGTGTTTTTTTATCTGGGTGTAAAACTCTTTTCTATCAAACCTTTATCATGTTTATGAAAGATTTAAAAAAACAGCACGAGACCCAGTTTAGCCACTTTTATTCCAATGGAGTAAGACAGTGCATATTTAAGTACAGTAGTGGGCAGGCATACCGTGTTGGTGGTGCACAAGAAGGTACTAGAGTGAAAACAAAGCATACGCAACTTACACTGAAACATTTCTCCATATTTGTTGAATATTTCCCATACAAACAGCTCAGAAAAATAAAAAATTGAACACATTGATTCAAATATATTGACGACTGTGGTAATGGCTATGACAATCACCGCATGCCATTTCAGTTTGAAAGAGACAAGCAGGAGCTTTCCAGGTTTCTGGAGCTCTAATCCCCCATCAGACGAGAGTTATTCCTTTGGGAATGCTTTTGAAGGGTGACATATCTTTAACCATGAGTTGTAGGGGAGAACCTGGAAGGTCTGAACTTCATCTCAGTGAAGGGAATAGAGAAGTCTTTCCCTTTCCAGTCGATCCAGACAACTCCCTGTGTCAGAGCAGATTTAGTGAATTAGTGACACGATAAAAAAACTGTAACACAGAGGTTGAAGGTGTTTAACTGCCTTACCTGGTTGTTACTGTTTATACCATAAAGACCATTGAGATTGGTCTTGTAGCAGTTCTTGTACCACCAGCCTCCCATGTAAGCTCTGGCACAGTGGATACCAAGAGGGTCAGGGTTCTTGTCTCGGGCAGAGAAGGGACGCCCATTGTGGTATCTCATTGAGTCACCTAACAGAAGAGTACATTAATGTTATTATCTGAACCGTATGGTATGCAGAGCAATTAATCTTCCTTTATCTTCTGTTTCCTCCACTACACAGACTCCATAACTCCAGACACCAAACCTATGGATAATGCAGTTATCATGGAATGCTTGTTTTTACAATGTCCAGTGGCATGGCCTTGCTAAAAAATGCTTAATTTCAATCATCTGAAATCATCTGCTTTGTATTTCTTTAGAAAATGTAATCTCAAACTGAATTTCTACACTAGTCCTGAGAAGAAAAATATTTCAATACATGTTTTAAATGTAGCTTATCTTAAACTTTATTTCTGTAATAATTGTTGAAAGGAATATTGTTCCAACTTTTACTAAGCCAATGCTACTGTTAAAAAGCCTTTTCCACTCTAAGAATCATCTTATTTGCCGGTCAGTGCAGTTATACTACATCTGATTCCAATATTTAGAAATTCACCTGCGGTTCCTGTGTAGCCAGACAGTTTAATAGCATAGTGGCTGTCCTCCGAAGCGATGGAGAAGTTTGTGTAGTGAGCATAAGCCGTTTCATTTTCAGATCGCATGTCCACTCTCAAACTCACTTGGCCGATGCTGGTCAGGTTGTGTAGGAGCTCGTTGCCTTAGGGGAACAGGGAGAAATTGTAACATCTGGGCAGATAGATAGGATTTTTTAAATAACTCTAATGTTATGATTATAAGGGCTACTTGTTTCTGTACCTAGCCAGAACTCTTCACTCAGGTTTCCAAAGCCAGCTCTGTATTCATTCCAAGTTCTGTAGAAATCTGTTTTCCCGTTCATCCTCCTTTGGAACACCTACAAAACAAACAAGCGACTTTCAAAACCACCTTTTTTTATTGGTTTGGTGTTAACTGTGACTGACGTCACAGTAATTTAGTCTACCGTCCAGCCGCCTCCATCGGCCTCCATGTCACAGTAAACTCTCACTGCTCCTCCATCTTTTCCCTGTGGGTAGATGTCCACCTCCCCTGACCGCAGTGCTCCATTAAGCAGCTCCTGGGAGCACTCTGTAGGGTAGGGGAAGCGCAGTTTTCCTTGGGGATGAAGAAAAAATTGTGGTTAGCGTTAAATTTCTTTTCATTGTAACTATTAGAGATGATGAAAAGATACCTGTTATAAATTCTGAGGTGAAAACAGATGTATAGTGTCCATTTTTCTCGCCTTGTACCACAACAGTATAGCGTGACATTGGCAAAAGCCCTGTCAGTTTATATTGCGTGACACTGGGCTCCAGGATCACCTCCTAATATAAATACAAAAACCCAAATTGAGCTGGCATTTTACGGTACTCAAAATCTATTATGTGACTGATTGGTGCTTAAACTAGGGCTGTGACCCACCTTTGTCTCCTCTCCTGCCAAACAATAGATCACTCGGTAGCTGTGGTAAACGATGGGAGTCCTCCAAGCAATAATAGCAGAGCGAGGTCCAACCTCACTGGCTTTAACCACTGAGAGAGATAAGACCCATGGAAGTTTTCTCTGTTAGAACTCACATCCCTAAGTATTTTGTGTCCTTATGGTTCACATGTTAGATGCCGATAGTTCTGATTTTGATTCATGCATTCGTCAGATACTGACCATTTGCAGTGGTGAATTTAGTTGAGATGGACGTGCTTTGAAGACTGTCCTTTTGACTCAGTACTTTGACACTGTGCAGGGTGCCTCTCTGTAGACCTCTGAGCTGATGCTCCACTGAGTTACCGGGCAGCATCACTGTTACTGTCACATTAGGAACTGTGGCCGGAAAAAAAAGCCCACTTAAACCAGTTATTAGCACATTTTCAGTGGTCATTTGTCACATAGCCACACTCACTTTTGGAGGACTCGTAGGTGATAATAAATCGGTCGACTTTTCCCAGACTGGGAGTCCATTGCAGCACAGCTTTGGTATCTGTCACGTTGACGACTTGAAGACGTGTTGGTGGAGCTGGCACTGCAGTCAAGACATAATCCATGTTGTATTGATATCCATTTTTACAGTTATATATATGTAAAAAGCCATGATAGCTAACAGAGTACCAGTGGTGATTGCAGAGATGAGTTCATCACTCTGGACTCGGCCATGCCTTGAAGCCACACTGATGATGTAGGAGGATCCAGGAGACAGTTCAGAAAGAACAACGTGAGACTGCCGAGAGTCCACCGTAGTAAAGAGTGTTTCTCCTGACAGGGTGACCATAAGCATGACATTGAAAAGTTTATGATTCGCATGCAAAAGTACAGCAGCCCAAAAAGTCTTAGATAGGTGTTTTGGCGAAGGTATTCCTTCATCCATTTGGTTCTGTCAGAAAAATAAGATGCCATATCTACATGTTCACGGCAACCTTTTCACTATTCAAACTGTGATGTGAGCAGTGGTAGGTGGAGTGGGTGTCATTTGCCTTACTATGGCCTTCAAAGCCATGCAAATGGTTGACCAAGTCTTAGAATGTGATATATACTACAAAAAGAGCAGGATTTCAAGCACTGAGTACAATCAAATACCCACATTTGATGGGTAGTGTTCGACAGACCTGTAACAATATTGATGTAAGTGACTCTAAATCCTGTGAACTTGGCCTTTGGTTTGGTCCAGGAAACAGAAAGAGAAGATTCTGTTACATTGCTGAAAACCATCTCTGTGGGTGGTTCAGGCCCTAGCAAGAGAAAACAAAGGGATTATGTTACCAGGTAGTGCCTCAAATGTGGGAATCATGTACAAAGACCTTACTTCTGGATATACCTGTGGTCACTGTTACTCTGTGGATCTTTGATCTTCTGTCAGCTGCAGTTCCATACACATGCAGGACATAGCGCGTGTTTGCCCGAAGTTTACTGAACTCCACAGATCGCACATTGCCAGGGACCACCATAGATATTCTCTTGGCTTCGGCCTTACCTCTTGATCCAACAGCCTTATCAGAAGAGGAAGTCATGTCTGTGCTCACACTGGGTAACTCAGTAACATTTCTTACTGCTGACACTTTTTCCTTTGCAGTGACATCCTCTTCAAATGGTTCCTGTTCGTCTCCATCACCCTCTGTCTGTGGCTCTCTTCTTATCACAGTGAAGTTCTTGAACATCCCTTGCGGTGCTGACCACATGATTGTGAAGCTGTAGGAGGAGATGTTTGCAGCCCTCACTGAGCCCAAACCCCCAGTCTTACTGAGGCTTATTCTTGAACCATGGCTAGATGTTTTGTTGTGAGGAAGTTTTGCCCCATCTACTGGAGTCATAATGGTTGCATTCACAACATTCTGAGTCTTTTTTCTCTTGTCACTAGCCTGCACATTTTTACCATCTGATTTGCTTATCTTGCCTTGTTTTTGTCCAGATGACTGAGTAACGTTTTTCTCCCCAAGTGTAGACTGTTGCAAAGATTCCTTTCCAGTCTGGGTTTTGTTTATCCTTGTGGTTTTGGAGGGATTGGTCACACTTCCAGTTGTGTCGTTCATTTTCCTCACACTGACATGTGTTACATTCGATTGGGGTTCATCTCTCAGATGATTTTGTTTTGAGCCCCCATCGTCCACCTTAGTCTCAGATTTTTGAGGGACCTTTTTGATTGTTATTTTGCCTTTAAGGGCCTCCTTTCCTGTTCCATCGTCATTTGGAGATGGACTAACGGATGAATTTAGTTTTGCACCACTTGAATTGATCTTAACATGTATTTTCTCTTCTGCGATGTCTTGTTTTTCCGATTGTTTTGGAGCCCTTTGTTTAGGGTCAGAGGCTTTGACATTTGTGTCTGTCTCATTGGCATATGGCCCCTTTTTCTGATTCTCCTTGTCTTTGCTCATCTTTTCCTGTGCAGTCTGGATCTTCCTTTCAGAACCTTCTAAAATAGCCAGAAATAGGGAAGAAGAGTCAGTTACTCACTTTTACTACAGTCTTTCTTCTAACTTTCTAATACTTACTTTTGTTACAGTCTGCACCCTGAGCGCACTGACTGCAGTCAGAACCCATGAATCCTTGTTGGCAGATACATTTCCCCTTCTCGCATTCCCCGTTTCCACTGCAGTGATTTGGACAATTAGCAGAACATGGACCTGGGCAGCAACAAGCAAAAACATGTTCATAAACCCAATCTTTAATATAACATGGTACATGTTCTTAGATCAAGATCACAAGTTGAACATACATTTTTCTTTCAGAGAAGACATCTCTCTTTCCAGTCTTGCCACTCGTCCTTTGAGCGCTGCCATCTCAGCCTCACAGCCTCCAGTGCAACCCCCGGGCAGCAGGCTGATCTTATGTGTCATCACCAGAGGAGCGCCAGGCTTTAGCTTCAACTCCTGCTCCTTAGCATGGGTCGAGTTGCAGCCATCACTGATGATCACCTTGAGTGCCTGAGAAGGGGGTGGCTTTTCTCTGTTTATGCTGCTGGGAGCCTTGACGGGAGCAATGGGATCTGCAGAGGATGTGGCCTTATTTTTTTCCACTACTGAACCATTAGTATTGCTAGCCTTTGCTGGCGTTAACAAAAGAATGAGTTTTTTTGAGGCAGGCTTGTCTTTGGACTTCACGTCACTGGTGGAGGGAGAATTAGCATTTGTCTGATTGACAGAGGATGTGGGCTTGATTTTAGTGGTTTTAGAGCCACTGGCAGAGGAAGGCTTGATAGATGTTGACTGAACATTTTGAGAGACAGTTGGGGGATGTTTGTCTTTGACAGTCTTCTCATTACTGGTTGAAGGGGATTTTACAGAAGCAGTGTGATTGGCAGAGTGTTGGGGATTTCCTTTTGGAGTTTTAGTGCCGGCTGAAACCAGAGACCTCGTGGACTGAACATTTGGTGCTCCAGTGGGGAAATGCTTGAGTTTCCCGCTCTTACTCTCACGAACCGAGGCTGACTTAGCTGAAGCAGTCTGGTTAACTGAGACTGTAAGCTTGTCTTTGTTCGTGATGGTTCGACTAGCCGTTGAAGCTTTTACAGCTGCTGATAGAGCGGTTTGAATGACTACAGGATTTTGCCTACCTTTGATGGCTGCTGTGGCATTGATTCTTGGAGGTTTCTGATGGGAGGTTGTAGTGGGTAAAATAGTGTGATTTACTGTGTTTATCTTAAGGGTGGGGTGAACGATCTGTTTGGAAGGGGCAGCAGTGGTTTTTGGTTTTGAAAGAGAGAAAACAGCATGGGCACTGGTCTCGTCGCTTCCTTTGGCATCTCTCTTCTCATTGGTTGTGGTTTGAAAGGAGGGAAATGGGGTGAGAAGGAGGAGAAGTCCTAAAGTAAACAGCATTTTGAAACAGCAGTTGCAGCCAGAGGTGGGATTGCTTTTGGAGGATCTGTAAACTTTGAAATGAAAAATTATGAACTCCTTCCTCTATACCTCTGGGGGCAGTTGTAAAGGGGGACTTTGCCAGCTCAAGCCTAGAGATGGAAAACAGAAATATCTAAGTTAAAATTAAGGATATTCTATGCCAAGAGACTAAAACTTTTCTAAAGCATTTTTGCATCCATGGCAGACCTTAACTGCGAGTAGATGCTCTAATCAGAACTGAAAAGCTACTTATTTACAGAGTTCCCATTTATTCTCCTTGGGAAAAAATATTTACACAGAAACTACTTATTCATCAGTCTTTGCTTTTTCAGTAGACATCAGAATATTTTATTCTGGAGAGAATTAAAGCTTTGCATCTGATAATGAGTGAATACTCATTTCATTATGATTTCATTATTTGTTAAATATTTGTTAAATATTTATTCAAGAATATTTTAGCCTAATTTGTCTCAAAGACACAACACAAATGATGTATTCTTCAACAAAGAAAAGTTAGTAGAAGATATTGATCCAGTTTTTTGTGGCTTAAGAAAATGCCAACAGAAATATAGAAACTTTTCTTTATACTGCAACATACAGTACTTTTAAAAAAGTAGATTAAGTTAGAGTAACCTAATTCACACCCAAAATATCCTGCAGTTTTTAATTCCACATCTTGCCAAAAAAAGTCAAATCTAAATTTACAGGAAGGAAGGGGTTCGCTTGAATGCAAAATCCAGAGCTGGTGAGTGTAACAGAGCCCCAGTGTACAGAACTGTGGAACACTGAGTCATTCAGGGCGCAGACACTGCTGCTACAAAATCCACAGAACCCAAAAGTAAAAAAAACACTTCAAGAAATATTGAAAGCCTTTGTTTAACATTTGTTGGAAGGTCCACAGAAACCTGTAACTAATGTATACTAAATGATGATCCATCATATAACCATATTATTGGAGTGAATGAAATAACCTTTGTCATAGAATCCCAGCAGTGATTCGAACTTACAAAGGCCAATACAGAATCATAACTCAGTATCTACACAAGATATACAGGTCAACTAAACAACCACAGATCCACACAAAGTTCAGTGTAAACACAAAACCGTGGAAAACTAACTTTATCAATTCAAAAGTCAGAAGAAATGCTCTGCTCTATAAGATGGGAAGATTAGAAAGAAATCCATTTATCATTAAAATTAAGTGTAAGAGTTCATTTTCATATATATTTGAATGAAAAGGGAACCTACCAGAATATTGACTTGTTCTAGGCTTTACCTCTTTGCTTATGTTTCTTTCTCCATCGGATCAGAGAAACTCGAGCAGATTTGCTGGATGTGATCTAGGTGGGAAGAGGTGGGAGAAAGGAGCACCACGAAACAGGAGAGAGTGATAAAGTCTGCTCCTACTTAAGGACACCCTTCTGCATACGCACACACATTCGCCCCACTTTTTTTTACACCACATCTATGTCACTCTCGCAACCACCATGGAAAATATTTGTATTAGACTTAGAGGGAAAGTTGCATTTTTACACCAATTTGTACATCAGTTTTGGCCTGTGACATTATTTGATTCTGTCACATGAAGAAAACAGATACATATTTTTTATGTTTAACACATATTTTATATGTTTTGAACAGTTTGTTCACTGTGAGATGATTCTGTTTCACTAATAGTTTAAAAGTGAGATTACATGAGCAAATATACAAAAAATTTGGGAGATTTTAGAAATGATCATGCACAAAAAAAAAATTGTTGAAGACTTTAAAAGTATAGAAGGAAGTGTGGGTACCGTTACAGAAAAAAACAGCTTTACACAGCAGCTCATGGTTATTTCCATGTCTACTGTATGTATTTTGACTTATACCAGAGACTGCTGCCATCAGCACACAACCAGACCGAACAAAATCCAGGTCTGAAATTCATGATTCAGCTGGAATACATAGCTTAACACTGTAAGTATTCAGCGCTGACTCTGGGGGACAGGAACCTCTTGCTATATGAATTGCCTGTTTGTTGCAAGTAATGAGATGTAACTACGTGGGAGTTATGTAAGTAACCAAATATCCACCAGATTTAAGGAATTCACTGTGCAGGGACTGCATCTCTGACCAAATGACCACCCACCACCCTACCTTTTGTAAACCACATGAAGACGGGTACATAAAAGGTTTAGAGCAAACAAGGCATGTAAGTAACATTCTCCTGATTCTACGGGAGCACATTAACAAGATTAAATTCAGTACAAATTCTGATATACATCTATGCAAAATGGTAATAAAGCAATTACAGACTTTTACATCCGGCACTGGAAAATAGCAACTGCTTGAAGTAGAACTGTTTCTTGCATACCAAGTAAGACAAGTCATGAGATGACTTTATAAATCATTTGATCATTTACTGAATAATCAGATGATTCACTGAGGATGAAAACTGTCCCAACTGCTTTCAGCATAATTATTAACTAAACCTCTTTCTCTTTAGTGAAATCCCAGAAATATGAGGTGTGAGGTGTGAGATGTTACACATCTAAATCCAAATATGAATGGAATCTATACACTATAATGTGAAATGAATTGATGAGTAAGCTCCACTTAAACGTTATGACACGTGTGTGCAGACCCACGTGTGCAGGGATATTGTTTTGAATATGCACTGGTGGGCCATGAGGACTGGTTTGTGCATCCTCACAGTGGAGCAAGAAATTGAGATCACATATTCTTAACTTCAGCATTGGCTGCTGGCATGTCAGAATATCTCCTGCGAAAAGGGTCTGTTCTGTTACCAGCTTTACACCGAGTTGAGAAATGAAGAGTAATGGATTCCGGGATGGGTGGTCCCACTCCATCTGCTGGCGACCTCCAGGAATGGTTCTCTTCTCAGTCCACTCTGCACCACAGACCACCCTCACACCGCTGACCCTCTCCTGGCCTTTGGAAAAATGACGGGAGAAATACCTTCAACATCTAATGCACACCTGAGAAAATACACCTGATAACACTGGCACATATCCTAAGGAAGCTCACAGATGGGGCTCGGGCACATTCTGTAGGGCAGGATAGGTCAGCATGCTGAGAAACACCTGTATTTGAAGTAAACACCGCATTGAAAAACATGGAATGCAAGTATAATTCAAGATTTGTTAAGAATATAGTGAAGGTGCACCCTGCAGCAGAATTAGCCGTGAACAGAAAACTAGAATTGTGTGTAATAATTTAAACTTTGGACATATTCCTCCTGAGAAACATCCCCTTTGGCTGCTATGGGTAATTTGGATTTATTGTACCTTAAATCGGCCAACACAAGTGTACTCGTCTTTCTCACAGACAAGCTGATGCTGATTTGAGGACGCTTCAAGAGAAAGCTCTCCTTTTCTTACACGCTGTTGGCTAATGACAGCTCACCAAAGTAATCTTGAAATCTCCGTATTTATTTACCCCTTACTGATTCAAACCTAATGAAATGTCTAAATGTGAGGCTGGAACAGTGCAGGCGTTGAGCCGGCGGTGATTGAAGTGATGGTCAGTCCCCCCGTGTTGCTTACATTGGACCTGGCCCTCAGAGATTAGAATAATATGAGCGCATAAGCCGTCGCTTGTTCCCAGCCTTCTCACCTACACCTCCCCCATGTCCTCAGCCCTACCCATCCCTCATTCGGAATTAGGTAATCACCACGCCGACCTTCTGCATCATCTCTACCATGGACCGCATTCGAGAGGAGACTCTTTATGCTCTCTAATAGTGAATTTTTATCCTTATGTGGGGATGATTGAACCAAACTCCAGGCTCTAATATGAGCAAGTGAATCAGCCCCCATGTGCCCAAAACCAGTCCTCCCCTCCTCCTTTTTCCTCAGCTTGTAGATGTTAAGTAAAGAGGGGGTTGACTTTGACTGGGGTTTGAGCTGAGTACAGAGACCCCTCTCAGAGCCGTTGCTGCCCGTAAAAGAAAAAGAAAACATAAGAAAATAAATATATTTGACAGGAAAGCTAAATCAAACTGAATCACACTGCTGGGAAAAACATGAAAGAACAAAGTATATTTTTGAGATGACTTTTCAAAAATCTATTTCAGAGCTGGGTTTAATTTTTGGCCATTACATCAACATTTACAAGTACTGATAAACATTCAGAGGCATTTGCTGGATGACTTTTAGCAGTGTTTATCTTAATGGAAACAGTCATGTATTAAAAAGAAAGATTAAGTTGTAACTTACAATGACAAAGTGGTGAATCAAGCTGTATCAGCAACAGTACTTATCAGTGATGGATTACTTTTATTCTAATAAAGACTCAAAACATTGCAAACAGTTAAAAATGACAAAACAGCATCTAGGCTTTGTTACAAAAGAACATGCTGTCCACAAGCTGCAGTGAAAGTTAATAGATCTGTGGTTGGTTTTACTGTGTGCAGCCATCCAGCTTGTACTCATTTACAAACTCATCAAACTGAGTGCAAGCACGTCTGTGGGCAGACTTTTTACAATCTTCAGCCAGTGGCTTTTGTTCGACCCAGGTGTTCGACTCCAAGAGGTACTGCATCCTACCGAAAGAAGAAGAGAAACCGAATCGTTTAGTTGATTATTTTTACCGGCTTGCTACTCACTGGCCCAGTGGTGTGACTAATTACACTTACTGTCCATCTAAGTCGGTTGTGGCGCCATCTTTGCCCATGATGAGATACTGTTTTCCCAGGTCCAACTGCCCCTTGCAGTGAAGCCTCTTGGCAAACACTCGAACCGCATTCTTACTAACATGCATATCTCCATCTGGCAAACAGATAGTTGTCAGTCATGAAGTATTGTCAAAAAGCAAACAAAATGCCACACAACTACTTCAAAGCTGGTACTGCTGCATTAGTCTACTTACTGAATTTGAGGACCTCAGTTACGTTTGTTTTGTACAGCTCGAAGTTGCTCTTCACAGATACACTGTGCACTGTAACAATGTACGCTGGAATACGACAAAAATAAGCCAAGAATGACAAATGTGTGCATTTTCGTGTTTTTTGTTTTTCCAACTCGAAGGCGTAAACTAACCGTAATCCACAGTAGGGAAAAAGCAAGCATGGTCCATCCGGGTAGCCTTGGAAGATGTGCCTACTTTATATTTTTTGAATGTGTCCTGTAATTTATGACAGGGTCCTGAAAATTTTTTTTACACAAAACATTTCGATTTAGTTGGTACAAAACTCAGTGATACAACTCCAAGTGGTTAATTTTTCAGCATATGTCAGCCTTCTTTATGAAGCAAATGAACAAATTAACCATTTAAAAAAGTAAACACACCCTGTTTCTACTCCAAGGTTTTACATAACAATATAGGAGAAAAAACATCTGGATTTGACAAGTCATTATTGGAAAAAAAATGCATTTCCAGTTTTATAATTACTTAGACAGGCGACAGGCGACAAATGTTTTTTTGCTTTAAATAAGAGTTGTTAGGTTAGGTCATGGCCTACTTTCTGCGCACTGACACACGTCCCCTGAACACAGTTTGGACACCATCCTGCTCCTTTTTGGAGCTGCGTAGAACACAGTGCACTTTCTGTCTGCAAATAAAGAACAAAAAGTGTTCAAATTCCTAAAAAAGATTAACCAACTCATTTGTAAGAACATGTCAAAAGCCTTGACTTACTTGGTTCATAATAATCATAAAACACAGCTGGAACGGGCTGCAGAAGCCCAATTTGAACTGTTTGTTCAGCATCAAAACTGAAACATTCTTCTCTTTCAAAGAGCTGCAAAAAAAAACAAAAAAACTTTTGGGATTGTGGAGACGTAACATTTCTCAGACTGCTATGTCAAGATGGTCACAAACCACAATATTCCAGGAGGAGGATTGTGTAACTTTCTGAGCAAAGACATTGTGGTTATTTGGAAACATGGTGAACAGACACCATGTTGAGCCATTTTGATAGAATAACTAATGTCAGTGCTTATGTGTGTCTCAGTTAGCCTTACCTGATTGAAATAGATCAGTACTTTTCCATAGGAGAGCTCATAATGGGTAATGTATTGTTCAGGTGGCTCCATTAGCTACGAACAGAACAAGAATTGTACACTTTGATGTTATTATTGAAGAAAAGACACAACTTTAATACCTTCTCTTTTGGCTATGTTCCAAAACAGATTTTTCAAATTTAGATTAAAAAAGAAAATCTAAACCACGATAAAATTGATGTTAAAACGAATGGGTTCTGACTATCAGGTCCTTTTATCAGGTCCTTCTTTCTAGAAAGGATTACAACGATATTGAGAGGATGGAGAGAACAACACACCCTGTCCAGGTCTCTCTCAATTGCCATAAAGCCACTCAGTAATGTGATGTCAGCAATGGCCATTCCTGTAAGGTTGCTGTTTGGGCCAAGTCTGGGCAGAGGAGGAGAAAACCATTCTTAAAATTGAGACAGATGGCAAGCATGACCTTTTTTCTTACTTTAACATATGAACGAACATGTGTAAATAAATAATCTGACTCACTAACCTGACACACACAGTGTATGTAACGAAGTTCTCTGAATTGACATTGTTTTCCAGATCTCTTCTGTTTCGCCGTCCAGTATCAAACCACTCACTGACAGAATCTGGCACTCGCTCCCCCCTCTCATCATTGGCATCATAATCATAGTTATAGTCATAATTTTCTAAAATCTTTGCTGAAAAGACAGGGAACTATGTAAATGTCTAGTTGTTTGCCGGTGGAGTTTGTAAACAGCAACAAACTCTCACCTGTGTACTTCACTTTCCCCTCCACTGCTACACTTATAGAAAGGCCATCACAGGTATACTCAGGGTCCAGCAGGTGGTAAGCCTTTGCCGTCTGCCAAAGAAGAATTTTATGGTAAACTATCTATGTAATTATTGAAATTCAGAACTGAATAATAAATGATAAACTGAATAATAAACTCACTTTCAATTTGAATTCTCCTTTTCCTGTCAGCTGGGCATCAATTTTTTTCCCTGCAAATTTCTTGGACAACAGACAAATTTATGACACATATCCAAATTAACATCCTGGTAAGAAAGTCTAGTACATCAATCCTTTATGATACCTTTAGGTCTATTTCCACCTTCTCCTTCCCACTTTCCAATTTAATTTCAACAACTTCATTCCTTCCTTTGACTGTGAACTGTGCCTTTATCTTTGAGTCAGGTCTTTTGGGCCTCTTCAGTTCATATTCTGACAAAGCTTCGAGAGCCACAACAGTATCCTGGGCAGGGTGACAAAAGGAGGAATTAGAAGCTGAATCCACAAAGCGCAATTAAATCTTTAAAGCTTTAAATCTGCTTTTGAAATTACCTGTGTTGATCGAAAGCCACCAAAATAATTTTCTTGGGTCGATAACCAGCAGGCTATTTGAGCTGCCCATTCCATATCATCAACTGCCACTGCAGTTAGAAGGGCGTATGCTGTCGTTACTATTGTTATGGCATCTGATTTCTTTTGATTCTGCGGGCTAGGATTATTTGTCCACAGGTAGCAGTCATCCTCTGCTGCAAGTTCAAAAGGAGTAAAAAGAAAGTTAAGAGGATTTTGACCTTCACAATTGAGCGATATGATTGTGTGAACTGTATAAATGTAAAAAAATCACTTCAAAGCAACAGCTGGGACTCTATAAAAAGAACAACCTGACAAACTGCCTTTGGGCAGCTTTTTTAGTATAAGCTGTTTTTGAACAACACTAAATTGTGAAAAGTCAAATTAATAGAATTTTAAAGCCCCAAGCACATTCATTTTCGGCTCATTTTTACCTCTCTTGGATTTGACTTACTTTTTGTTGCCATTGATTGAAGTTTCTTCCATGCAAATGACCGATCTGCATCCTGCGGTAAGCAGACTGAGAGGCAATAGGCGGATATGGCCACAGCATAGGGATGCTCAAGGTCGGAAAACTTGGTCTGGAGAAACGATGTTGCTTCTAATATACTTTTTCTCTATAAGAAAGTAGCATAAAGACAGCTAGTTAACTTTTTGTACCATAATGTCTTTGCAAAAAGTGCATTGAAATTGTTCATAAACAACATAATACATGATACAGCTGGTGGAGCAATAACAACCAGAACCAATGCCTTTTTCGCAGATGCTTTAGGATAAACGTATGCAATTTAAAAAAAGAAATGTCATAATTCATAATTGATTTAGGCATCACATACCTAAACTTAATTTTAGAGCGTGTTTTGGTTAAGTACACGTAGTAAATCCAATGACTGAGTATAATCTGTGAAAAATGTGCTTCATCAAATGGTTGAGCAAGATATTATAGGGGTAACGATAATGATAAGCTGGAATAATATTCCGTTGCACTTGTAATGTTTTTCATAACTCCTAATTTAAAATTAGGCTAACAGGAATGTATTTTATTTTTGCAATTACTGCGTCAAAAACAAAACTAGAAAAGAGATTACTGGTCTTATTTATAGAAAAACCAAAAAAGGCTGAAAGTAACCTTAAAAAGACCACGTGTATAAAGTTATACTTCTTTAAACTGAAGGTTTAAAGAAATTTCCTTCCACACTGTCTGTCACGGAGGACAGTAGGTCATTTCTGATCATCTCACCACTTTGGGTTGATTATCTGATGTCAGGAAGCCACGGGCCCAATTCAGTGCAAGAGTAATAAAAGCAGTCATGGAAGCGTCCGGGTCAGCGCCTCCCTACAGCAAACACAGAGAGGGCTGCATTCAGTTCACAGGTTGTTCCATGGTGGAACAAATGTTCTGACAAAGACAAATATGTTACCAGCATATTTCTGTGTAAAACAGGATTTGGGTCAGGGAAAGAACCATCATCTTGTTGTTGGGAGACTAAGTAATTGACTGATTGCCAGATCTCTTCTTCTGGTACGAGGTCAGCAGGTCGACCTAGAAGTCCAACAGTTGCATTCTGACGCTCTGCTATCAATGACAGGATTTTCACAACTAGGGCAGTTGCCCTGGGGAAGAAAAAAAACACAAAGGAGATAAGTTATTAGCAGTAACTGGGATAAATGCAAAACTTTAGACAATCCAAAATAATTACAATACTCACCAGTTACTGTATGGCACGGATGAAAATGATTTATATGATGAATCAAATCTGTTTAGTTTGTTCCTGTGGTATTCTATAATCCACCTATAACCTGCCAAAATGGTTATTACATAGTTACAATGTATATGTATACTTTTCAAGAGAGGATGTAACTGCTGTGATCAGTAAAAATAAATAAAACAAGAAAAAGTACATTTTTTGTCATGAGGGTCTTTTGCTATTTTTATATATTTCTAATATATTTCCACCAGATATTTACTTTTACCAAGCTATTCATGCTATTAGCTGTGTGATGCTGTCTTACCTGTCTCAACGTTATATAGAGCCTCATCTCTTTTACCAGGAGGCAGGCCAAACCATTGGTCACTCAAGTCAAGGTAGCGGAGTGCAAAAATTGTAGGGGTCAGATTTGTCAATGTCTGTTCTAAACATCCTCTTGGTAATTTAATCATCTGAGAAACTGTCTCTGGAGAAAGGAGTTTCCTTGCATATGAATTTTCAAACCCATCCCCTGTTGATGACAACACGGATAGAATAAGAAACCTTTCATTTACAAAATGAGAAAAACAGCTGTTTCTGAAAACGCCAACCTTCCACTGAAACAAATATGTTGTAGCCGCTGTCAGGAACTCTTTCGCCTGGTAAGGTGCCATCAATAGGAAGGGTCTTTGAGGATCCTTCTGTTATGACAGAGATACGTATTCAGAATGAATTAAACTAATTTTCATGCGAGTCAACCTGAAAAATATGGAAAAAACTCACCATCTAATTTAATCACTTTAGTTATCTCCTCTCTCTCGACCTTTCCTTCAGTCTGAAACATGATGTCACAGAAAAGGATACTGATCATTTTCAAATGATATTGTTCTATTTATTTTTAAAATGTGTGTACCACTTACCAGTACGTTTAATTTTTTTTCTATTGCATCGATTCCCCACTCTTTTTCAATATCATAAAGACGTATTTTAATAGGTAACGACCCGGTTTTCATAGGGACGACAGAGAAGGAGACAAACTGTGAGGAGTGACTCCCCACGGTGATGTTAACAAAAGAGCTTGTGGTGGCTGAAGCTGGAGAGCAAAGTCCTTCTGTTTGTTCCATATGCACTGCCACCTGAAGACATGCAAGTGATTACAGACAATTAATTTAAGACTTCCGTTTGGATGCTTTGTATTTAACACAGTTATAGCCCTCTTTGTTCTGAACACATCTACCTGGATTTCTTCATCTGCATAATTGTAGATAACGGGAGAAATAGACATTTGCTCATATTTCTTGACTGTGTAAGGCAGCCTCAGAGACACAAATGCCTTCTTAAATGCTTTGATCTCATATGGCTTTACAACACAGAAACCTGAATGAGACAAAAAATATGTATTATCATTTATAATTAATTTTCCAAGGAAAAATCTGAGATGATTCAATGCAGTGAGCAGCTGTTCTCACCAGTTGTTGCAGATAAAGTGACAACCTGAACCTCCCATGTGGTGATGGAGTCAGGCAGGGCCAAAGAATGCCTGAAAGATATTTCAGTGAAGATCAACTGGACTACTTAGTTATCGTGTTGCATCATATTCTAAGCAAAGGTAGGTTAATGTGATTATTTTCAAACTGATTAGTAGAGAGACAAGTAAAAAAAGGTCCTTTTTGCACTATTTGAAACATTCAATCTAACACAATCATCAAGCATAGGGCGTAAAAAGTTTAAGATATGTGTGACTGGTTGTTACATTTGATGTTATCTCAAATGTTTAGTCCGTATTTCTTTACCTTTTTTTACCATTCACATCAAATTCTGTGAACGCAAAGCTTGGGGGAAAAAATCGCCTTATATACTGAGAAGCAGCGTTTAAGAAGAACTCTTCAATGTCAGCTGTGGTCGCAGCTAAATGGGAAAAAAAAGAAAATTTGGCATTTAAACTGTGACAATAATACAATCATCATAAACACTATTCGAGTGAGTATTTAGTGTTTGACTCACTTCTGCCAAATCCACTCTGGGCATTTTCTAGCATCTTTTCTTTTATTAGCTTCTCTGCTTCTTTGCAGCATATTAGAAAAGCATCAGCACAAGTTTCATTCCCTTTCACAAGAAGGACCCTCCTCCTTCTTTCCTCGCATGTTCGTTTCATAGGGATGACAGAAAAACCTTGTGAGCAACATTCCTGGGCCTCTGCGTCAAAATTCGATTCTGAAACTAACATTTAATGAAAAAGAAAGAACAAATATTACATTCGTTGAAGATATGTCATTATTTAGAGATAATCTTATAATATTATAAGGACTTACTTAAGTCCTTCAACTTCTGCTGAGCATCCGCAGAACGTCTTGGACGTGCAGATTCAGAATTACATTTGAAATCTGGGTAGGCACAAAAGAGACATATATGTATGCAAAGTCTATGAAAAGCAAACCAGTAAAGAACAGAAATATCTTTGAACTTCTGCCGAAAAATGATGCAACATCCAGTTTGTTCGAAGATGGACTTTAAGATAGAAGAACAAGTTTGCAGATTCAATTATAAAAAAGGTATTATCAAACATGTCTATAAAAGGAAAGAATATTTAAAAGTTATGAAAGATGGAAAGTTATTTTTATATTACCTTGTCTCGACTTTGACTTGGACTTAGACACAAAAGACAGGCCAGCATCCACTACAGCTGATAGTGAGTCATTTCCTCCACCAGAGGAACAGCCAAGGTCATATGAAGTCATGGTAGAAAACACCTGTGAGTGGAAACAGAAGCTGAGATGTACGTAGTAGTTTTAAAAGTTCTGATGCATAAAAGGTCAGTTTGTTTACCTGTTTAGCTGTGAGTTTATTGGCATAATTGAGAGCATAGAAGGCCTTATCCACAGCCAGCAGAGCCACTTTGGCTCTCTGACCATGGAGATCAAAGTGTAGAGCTGGTATTTTCCCAGGCTCAGATGACCCTTCTTGTTTTACCTATATTGAGGTAAAACAGTGTTTTTTTTAATGCAGGTATGATTTCACTTTAAAAAAAGAATGAAATGTTACAGTGTAAAACAGTCAATATTGGTCTTTAAAAAAGTCTAAATGAAGATGAATATGGTTTGCAACATTAAACTCAATATAGCAATGTCTGCAAAAGTGGATCCAATATTATGAATTTCAAAAGATTTTCCCATCACATGCAGAAAGGAATCCACATGTAAGTCAACTGGGTGAAGTTGTTTTTGTCTCTCACTGAGACCACTTTTCGATCTTCCACGGATTACACACCTTGACAGTTATCTCGCATTCATCTCTGACGTCCACCCAAATTGAGTCAGCTATGATGTCACCATTGGCGTTGTAATAATAGCCAACCACACGGAAAGATGGAAGCAACTCGGCTGTTATCTGAAGGCTAATTTCTCCTAATACACCAATTTTCAGAGCACCGTTATTTACTATGATCCCACGACTTATTACCTGTAACACATATGAGAGAAAAATGAGCAACCATGACCTAATTTTGCTGTAGAAATAATATTGAATTGATTTAATGATATCTCCTCACCATGTAGTATATATGACCTGTGCTTGGGGCATTGACGGTGCTGAATGTTATTTTAAGGACATCCTTCACAGAGTACAATTTGTAGGACGTGGCCATATAAAGGAAACTGTTAGTTGGAGACACGGCGCGTTTTATAGTTTTCCTCTCCTGCTGGTCACCTACAGACACCTGTGAGACATAAAGTGGTGTCAGTAGAAACTGAATCTAAGCCAATTTGTATGAACATACAACCATGTTTGGGGATACTAACTTCAGCTTCAACTGTAAGTGAATCTTTCTGTTGAATATTAAAGGTAGTGAACACCATCCCTTCCTGATTAGTAAGGTATTCCCGAGATTCCTCCAAGGCTTTTATATTCACGTTCATACCTGCTGCTGGGGAGCCGTCTGGGTGACTGATGACTGCCTATAAAAATGAACAAACTATGTGTTGTAGGGAATATCAATTTTTTCATGTGCCTGCTACTGGACCCATTTGTCAGTGTGTGACTTACCACCACATCAAGTGGAAATCCAGGAATGAAATGAGAGCGAGTTCGTGAGAGATCTATTGTGTATCTTTGGGAGAGGATAGGAAGGTGAACCTCTGCTTCTTGTATCTCACCACCTAGGCAAATAAATGCACACAGTAACACCATAAAATCCTTAGTGCACTGTATTTGCACAGCACAATTCCAAAACTATGACAATGTAAAGAATTTCAAAGTCAACTGGTGAGAATATCCCTGACATTTACCGAAGGTTCTGTACAACTCCTAACACAACTACTCATGCCTCTCATTGAAACCCTGGGTATTATATAAAGTGACTTGAGAATCCACAACAAAACACAGAAATATGCTTTGTATTCATAGCAACAAGCTCAGCTCAAACGTATTTCTTACAGGAACATAAGGACACTTCGTTTTTTTAAAAATAGGGTCAAAAGAACTAGTTGCAGCTTTAACTGAATAGTAATAGGTTGAATGACTATGTGCCATTTACTTTGAATGTTGGTGACAAAAACTCCAAAATAGATCTGGGATCCTTTTTTCCATAAATCAGAGAGAGTTTGGTTCTGCTTTGCTTTGAGTTGGGAGTTAATCTGTTCTAACCCAATAGTAACTTTTGCAGCTCCATCCTGGACCTGCAAAAAATAGACATAATAATAGATACATAAGTTTAAAATTAAAATTAAAATGAGATTAAGGTTTTAAATGTAGCTCTCTTACCGAACCCATCAGTTCCAATCCCCTGATAAGGTCAGGCCTGTTTGTACTTTTTGTAACAACTCCAAACTGACAGTGGTAGGCACCTTTAACTTTCTCCCCATATGTGTACCTAAAATAATATCAATAACCATTACAGATTACACAAAAAAGATAGGAAAATGAAATATTTGTACTTGAAACACACTTCAAATAGTAGCTCTCAAACATATTGTATTTGTTTAGGGTTGAAAAACATTCCGCAGAAGCAAAAAGAAGTGTCCCTGATGCAGAGCGTAGATCTCACTCCTCTGGGACTGCACTTAGAAAGGTTGTTCTACCAGCACTTAAATATGCATAGCGTGTGTGAAGAATCACAATTTGTTTCTCTACATGTGTGCTTATGAGACTTAGGGCAAATTAAGACTTACATTGCTGAGATGGTAAAGTCAAGAGTTGCATCATTCAGCAAAATGTAGCGCTGCTCCGTTGCGATATTCACATCGAAACTTGGTAAAACTAGGAAATTTCCAAAACATATGCCCGGAAGGGAAACATGGTAAGTCAATTGTAAGGAAAAAGTTAAATGTTTTAATAAATGTTGTACTTACCAAATTTTTGGACTTTGAACTCTCGGACTGCTGCATGTTGTTGATCATCTCCATAGTGGGCTTTAATCTTCCATATTCCCATTCTTCATGAAGAAAGTGTACATGTCAATGCTGGTCTTTATATGTTAATAACATGTTATTACACACTTGTTAAAACCTACTTGGAAACGCTGGGCACGGAAAATTGGGCTCTGTAGATCCCTCCTGGGGCAACCCTAGAGGATTTCATAACTGTGCTTCCAGCTGCATTCTGTAACAAGAAAATCAAAGTGAGAAGAGAAGCATGTCTTTAAACTGGACTGTGTTTGTAATATCCACTCAGTGTTTGTAATATCCACTCACAATTACTGATATAAAGATGGGTTCCTCATTTGGCCGTAACATGTGGTCAAGAGTGAATATTCTGTATTGCACTAGTGGAAAGAAGGTCCACATCAAATTACTTAATTGTTTAGTCTTTGAATAAAATCTGCTATGATTTCTATAAACACGCTGATATTACTTTTACCTCTTTGTGTTGGATTGTATATTGGCTGATCGGTCTGAATGAAGATATATCCCCTACGATGTAAAACTAGAACTCTTGTCATCTTTCTATGATTGGGATTGGTTTTGGGATCTACGTATGAGTCCTCCGCTATCAGGTTGAGGTATGGAGGATTATGTTGGTTTGAACGCTCTTCCAGAAATTTGATCCAATCATCCCTCCTTATCTGTGAAGATGCAATTGAGAAGTCGGGTTAATGACATCTTAGTCCAATCTAAAATGTTTATTTGTTTGAGTTTTGACAAAGTTTTCATACCATGAGCTCAACTGTTGTAGTTTTCTTTCCTTCATCATGAACAGCATCAACCTTTTCAGACATAAGGAGCCCTTTTTCTGTCTCCAAATACAGTTTGACAGGTATTTCAAGATAAGCCCCTTCCATCTGGACAAACACTTTCTCTTTAACTCCAAGATGAAAGACATTTGGGGCAAAGACAAAGAATCTGCATACAAAACAAAAGTGAAAATTACTTTTTAAAATAATTAATCGTTTATTTTACTTTTACTTTGTGCTGTTAGATAAAAAATCACTTCACGGCTTCTTTTGTCCAACCTGTCGTATTATAACAATAGGAAAGTTAGGATATATAATAGGATGACACCCAAAAAAGTTGAGTAATTGTAACAGAAAGCATGTTTTAAAAAATATCTACATGAAATGCATAAAGTATTTGCATTTAATTGATGTAGCATAATATGCTAATGGTTGTATTTACCTGTTTTCCGCTAAACCTCCCACAATGCCGATCAAGAGCAGTATCAAAACAGTGATGGACTTCATTGTGTTGCTCCTTTTACTTTTCCTGTTCTGACGAGGGCTCAGAAGTAACAGAGGCTTTATAGGTCCTTCACCCCGGTATTTCTCAATAGTTGGACTGGACAAATCCCTCCCTCTGTTTTTCCCTTTATGATATTATATAACATTTTTTGAGACAATTATAAGAGCACAATGTAAATGTCTCAATAAATAATCATGGAGCATTGTCATAACATGATATAGAATGTAATATGGTGACAATTTCTGTATACAATGATAACCCATCAATCAACAACCAGTCAATCAATCAGTAAATCAGTCAATCCACGTGGGTGAATTTCATTAAATGCTTTGCCCCGCGAACCCATTAGGGAATAAGCAGTTACGATGATGAAGAAACAGATGGATGTATGCTTTACAAATAAAAAATAAAAAAGTTGAGCATCTGATTTAATTTTATTAGATTTCTAAAAAGTCCATTCTGTAACACTGCTTGGCTTGCAGGATATAAAGTGTTTGTCTGTTTCACAATGTGTAACCTCCCCTTCATTGGCCACTGCCAAGTGAGCCACATTCCCCCAAATCATGTGATTTACAAGAAATCAAGTGTTATCTTTACAGCTTTGGGCTGAGGTTTGTGCTGTTTATGCCTATTTTATAATGACTGAGAGCTTCATCTGCACAATGTCTGGTTTTTGGTTAACTTTTGTCAACTTTACAATAATATGTTTCTAATCTTATTCATCATCCCCTTTTAAATTGATCTATACTTACCAAAGCTGCTTCTGTCTGAGATGGTGCTGTAATAGAATGGGTATAATCTTTTATATACATGCAACAACCCATGATAAGTGAACACATTTTGAGATTAAAACGGTGGCAAACTGTTGCAAACTAAAGTGGGTCGATGTTTTATTGACACTGCATGGCTAATTTGACTGAGTTCATTTGTACTTTAAACTGTGTCTACTGTTTGAGCTCCACATGTGAGAGTCTTTTAAGGGGACATGTCAACAGTGATTCAGGGATGATTTTCATCCACAGGAGTGGCTTAGCAGTGAGAATTTCTTTTCTTGTTCTCGTCTTTGAATGTCCTGAGAGAATGATATCGTATGATTGATGAAAAAATCTCTCAAACAATTGAAAAATCTTTATTTTTCTACAAAAGAAACACATAAAAGGGAGTGAGTGCAAAGAGTAAGACAAAAAAACATGGGGAAATGAATCATTATCAAATGATTATTAAAAAAAACAGTTGTCTCTCTTTTCATCCTTTTCATCATTACAATTGTTTACATGTTCGATTGCAAAGTAAAATAATCCCATATTCAAATTTTTCCAGTGTAAATAGTAGCACATTAATCCTTCTTTGGCGAAGTCCTCAGTGATGCATATATTGAGATTGAAACACATTCACAAAGTTTCTGACAAGGTTTTCCAGTATGAATGGACTTTATTTAACAGTGCATTGACATTTATCTTAATTTCTTTCAAAGTTTCATCCTCTTCAGACACAATTGTCTATTTTACATACCTTGATAACCTGAATTTTCATAGAATTTCAGCCATTATAAGACATATTTGAAACCTTTGGAATTTCCTGAACTGCCACAGCAGGTGCTTATCATGCAGCTACACAACATTCAGTTTGCTCCTTCTTCCTCTGAGTCAACGAGAGTTGGGTGCATGATGTCCATCCACAACTCCTGGATATGGAGAAGCAGAACAAGAATTGCGTTTGGACAATCAACACCAGACTCTCTGTCAAACTTGGGATGAGCAGCAGCTGGGTTTGTTGGCCCTGGAATCAAGTCCTGAGATCAATGTTTTGAAAGAAAAGAGATTAATTGAGGCAAGTAGAGATATTAATCTTTTTTATTTAATAATAAGCTTTTGCTTCTTATTACTGAAAATGAATTCACATAAATAATCCCTTGGATTAAAAAACAACAACTTTTTGGTCTAACTAGCTAACATTCTTTAACTATGTTTAACAATGCAGATACTTACCATTTGTTCCATCATTTATAGGTTAAAAGTTCCAGATAAGAAGCAATTAATTGCATGTCTCTATACATATGGAGGACGAGTATCTAATTCTTTTTCTAATTTCTTCCAAATGATGATATAATCCACGCTCCTCCGTACTGCGTCTGTCCTCAACGGCTGCTGGTTCAGTTTGCCTGTCCACGTCCCCCTGTGTGTCACTTCCCCACTATCCATCTCATTTCATGCAGGAGTGGGGTTACCTAAGAGACTGAACTTCAATGGAGAAAATCTGCTTTTCTACAATTAACTGTGGAAGTGACAGAAGGAAGAAAAGGGAGGGGAGCTGACCCAGAGAGGAGATGGAGGGAGATGTGCGCATGGCAGGAAGAGACATGCAAATCTATACAGTTCCTCCACTCATCCATATATTTTTAGTAGAACGTCTAAAATTGCGATTGCTTTAAATCTGTAGATATAAACCGATCGAAAAAATGTTGATACTTGTGATATGCATTTTCTTGGCATTACAAATTTGTTCACACATGTTTATCTAACATATGCGTTTAGATTTGAAACATTTCATGCTTGAATTGAGATTAGGCCAAATTAGGTAGCATTACACTGATCCCATTGGAGATGAATTATGCTTCAACGTGATCTCTAAAAATTCAGAGGGAGTGACCAATGGGTTTGCATGGTGAGAAGTGCACAAAAGGGTGTGGCGTGGGAATGTCCAAAGAGGTCAGGAGTGAGGGTGGGGGGGTCAGGGGTCAGAGCCAGCTGGACAGCACACAAGAGGAGATGAGGGTGAGAAAAGGAGGGGAGGGAGTAGCCCAGGCATTATTGACTGGACCGTATGGGACATTAACATTGAACTGAGGCCCACTGACTAAGGTGGAATCATGGAGAAAGTAAGCCAGGACACACTTGTGTAATAGTCTGTAATAATTCAGGAGTAACAAAACTTCATAGTGTATCAAGAGACCCGTGTCACACTGCAGAGGTACATTAGAAATTAGGCATATTTTCATTCAGTTAGAATATGAGCCCATCAAGGAAACATGGGATAGTTGAATTTACGGAGCGTTGTTGTTAAGCTGTTAAGATTTCATATTAGGGTGCAAATGCATCATTTTGCTATCAGCTCTAAGTTCAAATCCAAACCTCAGCATTTTTTATCAGAACTGTATCACATTACTTGTGATTATCATTTAAAGCAGTATGCACTGCATTTGCAATAAATAATCTGCTTGGAAATATTGAAAATTAATTATAATGAATAAAGACAGACACCCTGACATCATGAACTTAAGATATTTTAATATTTTTCCAAATATTTTATTTGACAGAAATGATGAGTCAGTTAAAAAAATAAACATAAAAGATGATAAGAAGGGTTGTACTATGAAAGATGAAAAATACATAGAAAAATTACTCTTTAACAGTAACAATTACATCTTAATTTACAACAATAAACGTGTGATGTTTCATGTTTCTATGTCTTGGAGGTGCATAGACTGGGGCGAGAGGGAGTAAGCTGTGGTCTTTGTGTCACTCATGAAGAAGGCCGGGTCAGTAAGTGCAGTAGGTAGTCTGAAACAGGGCCCACCGTGGTCTGGAAAATACAATCTACGGTTCCAGTCCAGGGGGTCGAGATGCAAATAGTAACCCCAGAGTGAAGGGCCATCAGAATAGATCAATTTTCTCACATCAGTCTTGCTGCCCATGACTGTGAATGTGCACACCCCCACACCACAAGATGTTCTCATATCAACAAAAGAGGAACCAGCTGTATTCCAACAAAGGCTGTATGATGTCAGCATCAAAACAGCCTTATTGTCTCGTATGAGGAACACCTTGCTTCCCTGGTTTGTCTAAACGTTTACGGCAAACGAACTGCAAATATAGGAAAAAAAACCCGTTAAGGTGTCATGCAGCATAATTAGAAATGTTGCATCTTTACCATTTCAAACATATCTGCTTTCATCTGGCACTAGTGTAGCAGATGAAATTCAGCTCCTCTGTCTCCGGCATGCTAACCCACTGCTGCCTCCCTGTGGCCTCAATGGCGCCACTGAAACCACAGTCAGTTACTTTTCCAGGTACGTGTTCCGGGGCCCAGTTCTGGTAGCAGTTGGAATCTGACCCAATCCAGACCCAATGTTTTAACGTGCAGGTGTAACGTAGGCCTAGCCACACGTGGCGTGAAGTAGCATTCCTGGCTTTTTCAGCCACCTTGTACTGAATGTATTCGGTGGAAATGTGGACAAGGTCAATATGGTTCTCCCTGCAGTAACTCATAGCTCCAATCCATGTCATGTTTTCCTGGATGAGTATCAGGTCCACTTCAGGAATAGAACAGGAAGAGGAGTGAGTATTAACTTTAAAATTTGACAAGCAAACCTAGAAGAAATTATTTGCATGGACAGCTCAAATTTACCTGGATGCAAACTCTGGGTGTTGACAGTGGGCATTAGAGTTGTAGCCGTTGGGTTCGCTGGTTTTCCTGTAGAAGTTTGCATTTCAATGGTTATTTCACTGAGCTCTGTGCTAGACGGGTGTGCCGCAGATTGTGTGGAAATGGTTGTTGTTGCAGTTGCTGGTGCTGGGGTAGTAATGTTAGTTTCAGATGAGTTGTGTGGAAATGGTGTTGGCAGACGATGTACTGTGGTGCTCTCTTGTTCAGTTTCTACGCTTGTGGTTGGTGAAATTAATTCCTGTGCTGCATAAGAATGATCATGTTAACTTTTGCTCAATAAACAAATATACTGCTGATTAGAACACACTTCACGAGGTAACTCTTCTGACACAATAAACTGTTAATGAATATGGAAAAACTACTTACCGTCATGACAAATAAAAGGAAATTTGGTATTGCAACGTCGGTTATTCCATCTGCCCTCGTCTAGGAATATAACAGCGACACAAAATTGTATATTGAGGTTGTTTGGCTTATCCGCTCTCCAGAAACGAAACGATGAGTTACTCCCATCTGACCATTTCCAATTATCTCCAAAGAGACCAATCCACACCTGTTGAGATTTTAACAGTCTACGAACATCATCATTCTCCTCTGCTGAGTTTATGGTAACAAGGTCAGATGATAAGGTCCTGCAGTGTGTCTGAGCATCCCTCCATGACTTGGTGCTGTTAAAAAGGCTGTAGTTGCTGGCTTTTCCATTGTCTGCAAAGTTTCAAGAGTGTAAACAATGTATAAACTGTATAGTGGTGCTGCATGTAAATATTTCTAGAAGCCCTGGGATGGTGTCATTTTACTCACCTTGACATACAAATGGTTTTGCAGTGGCACAACGGTCAGGAGACCAATTTCCACTTGGATCCATTGCTATACAATTTTTTTCAGCCGTTTCTTGTGGTTCTCCTGCCTTCCAGTTAAAATAGTTTGTTTGTTGATCAGGCAAAGACCAATGCCACGCAATCTCATTGCCAGCCTCCAGTCCAATCCAAGCTCTGTCAGTTGTGCTTGGGACTAAAGAGATCAAGTTTTCCATGTCGACTGAGCTGTGAACTGTTGCTAAATCGGTGAACTTCTCTCTGCAGTAAAGCTTCGCCTCCTCATAGGTCTTTGTGACATTGATATGGTGAAAGTTAGAAGATCCCATTGTGGAGGAGCAAAACACTGTGAAGTATATTGTCACATGAAATGTAATCCCAAAAACAATAATAAAAAACTCAGTGTGTACTTTAAAGCACTATGATTCTGATTAAGCATTTAAAAGGCCATCAATAGCTACACATATGGTACTTCTACATGAATATTTTACATATTTGTACATGCGACATCAGGAAAACCCATACAGGACTGAGAAAGAAGTCACAGTACAAACCTGGGAGAAGAATCAGTGATAGAATTGTGGTCCTTTCCATGATGACACGTCTATTTATTCTTGAAGACTTAAGAAGTGAAAAAAAAATTACATTTTGGAATATGCTTTTCTTAAAAGACCAGCCACTGCTTCTAAAGAAAGTTCCTTGCAAACCTGAGGCTGTGAAGTGTTAGTGCTATGAATGACTCCTGTCTCGTCAAGAGAAACTTCCTCAGAAACTGTGCTAAACAAAGCTGCTTGTCAAGTTTCTCTCTCTCTC